GTGATTTATGATTAAACTTTGAACAATACAGCTATCATTAATCAGGGCCCCTTTAATTCTCACAGAGGATAAATTAATGTATCCCACAATTTGCTAGTTACTAACATATATTGAACAAATGTCTGTGACACCGCTTTGTTGTCGCCTACCGAACATGAATGTCGTGCGTTTGTAATTTGCCTAGACTAACTAGATATCAACTGAAGTCATTCGTCGAACTTCGATACTTTGTAATGTCTACTCTACGATATTTGCATAGCCAAATTGTAAACGGGCAGCATTTTCAATTTATCGGTGACAAATTAATCTTCAAAAGCACCCGTAACGATAAAATCACAAAAAAATCAATGTGCTCTCTTTTTACGTCTTAAAATAAAGTTGCTAAGCACATTGTTAAGGCTGTTATTGTCACTCGGCACGGTATCGGTTTTTGATAACCAGTTATTGGAGATCTCTGGCTGCTTTTTATTCTATTTAGTTAAACGCTCTCTACCAAAAAGATGAATTAAAGTGAAGGATCAATGTAAATTGGCCAATTTTTTGAGGTTACGTGATTTTGGCAATTCCAAGCAGGTGTTAATAATGACTTAAACCTAGAATACAGACATCGAAATTCGTTTAATAAAGCGGTTCATTTCAGACATAATAAAATCATACACCTTCAAAATAGTTACTTCAGCCTTCTTTTCTCAGTTTAAGTGCGACAAGCGTCCTGAACGAGATTAAGACTGTTCCCGCTTTTTTTACCATTCCTTTGGTTATAAAAAATTAGCAATAACTAATTTAGTTTTAAACAGTCAATGTTCCGCTTTCGTATTAATTGCTTGAAAGCAGAATAAAAACCCATGAATCGCGCGTTCTGAATACAAACACGGAGCATCTGCAAGCTGTTTTGCAAACGGAACGTTAATAAACCGTTGCTGACTGTGATAACGAATTGCCGTGAATTTTCCTCGGCTCAAGGACGCCTCGAGAATTAAGACATTATTTCACTTGTCTTCGCGAATATAATTGTTCTATAAATCTCGCGTCATGAAAAATCGACTTCTGAAATAAAACCCCTCTTGATTGTTCATTAAATTTATTTGAAACTCGGCGTATTTATTTAGGTACACTAAAACGAAAACTTAGATTTTTAACATTTGGAGAAATTGAGACGATAAATATTTTAACAACCAATGTAACAACATATCTAATGTTTGTGTATGGGGAAATTACCACTGTAAAAAAATTTTTAGTATAATAATATAGAAATTAATTATTTATTAAAAATTTTATGTCACGTGGTGATTTCCTGGTCTTGGCTATCGGTATATTATGGGACGTCTGGCTCAAACGAATCAGATTCGAAAAAGCTTCTCCGTGATCTGTAACCTAATCCTTGATTTCCTAATTTGTACTATTCATTAAAAACACAAAACTTATGTTTTTAACGGACATTTTACTACAATATCATAATTAAAGGGAGAAAGCTCAATCCGCCTTGTAAGGGTATGTCCACATGTCTGATAAATATCAGTTGTAGCTATTCTCGCAATTTCTCTATTCGCTTTTCGAATATTACGAAATTCCATGGATATTTCAAATCGGTAAATAAAACAAGACACATGCATGACGTTTTATTACACTGTACAATAAATATCGAGCTGTATACAAAATATAGAGGAATTACAAAAGATATTGTCAAAACTCTGGCATACAATAACATGAGTGTACGATTAACGTACCTTTTTACTAATAACAACTAAAAGTTACCTTACAAGTTTTGATATAGAAAACTTGTGCTACATTGTTAAGAAATCCACATATTCAATCTAGCAAGTGGTCAAACCTCGATAATTTATCAACATACAAAATTCAAGCGTACATATACATATGTACATTGGCACTCTAAAGCTTTACAAACTACCTCGGTTCCATGGAATATGCTCATATATTTTAAATCACATTTATCTTATATTATATATCTAAACATGGCAACATTATCCAAGGTTTACTAAGAACGCCTAGCACGAAAATTTGCGAGAAAGCATTCGTATCGTCAACTGCAAAATTAATATGATTTGGACAGCGTTATAACTCTCATATAAATTTTCACTTATTTTGTCGATGACGTTACGAAAAATCATATCGCAAATATTCGCGATAGACCGTCTGAATGCAAGTGTCATAACAAATACTCTGAATGTGTTGTGAAAATTCAAAATCGTCTTCGCATTTGTAGATTTACAAAAGTGTATAAATTGTCAATCAATTCCATTTCCAAAAGCAGGCACATGTAAGGCACTTGAATTAAAAATGTTCAAATACGTATATCATTTATCCAATTTCAAAATGTGTTGATTTTTATAAATGACAATTTGACATTTGTTAGTATTGCCAACATAAATACACAAAAACTACCAAAATCGTGACAGGTGTCAAATAAATACGAAATTTCAGACTTCAACACCATTTATTGGAATGTAGCTGCCGATCAAACGTACAAAAAGAATATATAAATAGGCAAATAATTTATTTTCAGTATATTCCACGTAACCGACGCATAACAGCGGTCTATCACATTGCCCGACTTAGTCGCTACGTTGAGACCAATATTGCTCACTATAATCTACACTATTCACCCCGCTGTTCCACGTCTCTACATCACTCAACAATGACATACCTTGACCTACACATTTGAGATAATATTCATATTCGCTCGTTTTACACGTAAATTATTTATTCATATTTAGTATGAGACTTTATTTATTATCAAAAAACCTTAGTTCAAATTGTTCTGTTATTAAAATAACCTCAAAATGTATTCTTGAATGGTCAATTTCTTTAAATTTATCTACTGGCTAAACATTAAATTTACATTTAGCAACGAATGAAAACTGTATACTGTATTTTAAACGTGATAATAGATTTCGGTAGATTTAAGGTGAGTTCGGTTAAAGTTTACGTAAAATCTCATACCAAATTGAACAAGGTACAAATCCACAGACAAAGAATATTAAATAATTATGATAATTTATACATAATAGAGAAATATGTACTACAAACATTAAAATCAATTTTATTGCATTATGGAGTATTATTATTATGTTGCTTGAGCTTATTATTGCGTTACATTTAATTCTTGCAAATTACAGCAATGAAAAACATGAAAATAAACTCCAAACAACGTATTTTAATTCCTAGAACCATAGACATAATAGTGCACAAAGTAATAAAAAATTAAAAACGTCGGCTTTTGTTTATTCGCAATTTATTATGAAAAATGTCGGAAATTTTGTTAAAAATTATATTCGTATTCTGGTTATTATGAATACATAATTAAAATGAAACAGGTAAATCACTATAAGCAAATAAACCACAGTAAAAATCAACATGTATAAAAAGTTTTCATAAACATTTTTATTATAATTTGTACTAAAAATTACACAGATAATAAAAAAATGTTACTTGTAATAGACAAATATTTAAGGACTAATCATAAGACAACATAGACAGTGTTTCAAGGTCATTTTACATTAGACATATCTCAACCCTTTTATCGTGTTGATTTAAAATTGAAGAAATTCTGAAAGTACTCATACCAGAAGCAATTTTCGTAATACATATTTAAAGGTAAAACATACTCTTTTATAACCACGTTGACGTACATTATATTAATCATCAGCTGTCAAATGGTTAAACACGTGTTCAACTGAATATTGCTTTTTCAGTAGTACAGATATAATTTTTTATCAATTATAAAGTCGAAAAGATAAACGTGTAAAATTGACCAGTAAATTTTAAATCTTAGTAAAATAAAATCCGATTGTACAAATCTTTTTTCACATTCTAACACAATACATTAGAGAGAGACCACAACAAAATCATTCAACGCACGCGCCAGAAAAATTAAACATTATGATAATGGAAATATAAAGTAATGTAAAATATTAAAAACTATTTTTTTAATCAGTAAAAATGTGCTTTAAAAATTCAAAATCATCAATTAAGAAAAATCCAAAAAATAGTGTTGAGCGTAGTACAAGAAGTCACTCTAGTGAAAAATCAAGACAGTATTGCTGTTAGTGAGCGAAAAGATTTTTTGGGTGCAATTTTTTTTTGTTGGCAACATTGTTACTAAATGTACCATAGTTTGATGGCACTACTAAATGCAATAAATATATCACTGTTCCAGAATCAATAAAAAAACGTCACCATACTCAATCCTAATCTACAGGAGGATCAAAAAAAATTACAAAAAATAGTGGAGGATGGTTTTAAAATGATCATTCTTACCAAATTGATACTTCAATGTCACGTTTAAACAATAAACTATACACAGATAATAAAAAAATCTAAAAAAAAACACCATGAAATTATATTTTCTTTTAAATTAAGAGGTATTTACAAATGATAGCCTCTAAATAAACCCTTTATAATGTACACATAATAAATAGAACAATCTATCTTAAAAACTTATTATTAACATAAGATTCTAACTATTTGATTTTTTTTATATAAATAAATATACTAAAGCTTACTTCACTTATAATTCTAAATGAGTATAATAATTATTATGAAAATTATGCACTATTTAAATAAAAAAAAATATTTTTTTTCAGATCGTTCCATTATAGATCCGAGTTATAGGAAAATGATAATACAAAAATTTTGATCATAACGAAAAAAATTGTGCCCAATTTTTTATGAGAAAAATTAAAAAAAAAAATTACATTTAACAGATGAAATCGTGTGGATATGCCTTAAATGTTTTCGTACAATATGACGCATTGCTTTCTTGTTTTTATGACATCCTAATGAGTGCTTTACTGAGAAGTATGCCAAGGGACGGAATTCCGCAGATGCAAAAATGACATGTTTGACAACGGTAATTATTTTATACAATTTAGCACATTGAGTGTTTGGTTGCGAAGTTACCAAAGAAAAAAAAATATCAAACTGGCAGTGGTAGAGCAAACTGCTGCTTAGTATAATTTTTTTTTATATGTTTGTTAAAATCACGATCTTTTTTTTTAGAGTATTGGAGACATTTGTAAGAAATATTTGCATCTTTTTCGAGTCATTTTCGATATGTCATATAGTGACTGATGAAAATTATCATTCTTAATAATTTAAAAAATCACAGTATACGATATTATTATGTACACTTTTATTCCCTAAAGGGATTACTTTATTCTGTACTTTTTTTGAGTATCTGAGCAAGTCCATATAACCTCTATGAACAGATCCTTGTTAATACTTTTCATACCAGATCAAACTTGGCACTTTTAAGTCAAACACAAGCAAAAAACAACACTGACCTCAACAAATTAGAGCATAATTTTGAATAATACGACTAAATCCAATATTCGTTGGTATTTCCTCTAAGCAAACTACGATTATGTATCGATTACATGACAACTTCTATTCCTACGAGTATATACCGCATCACCGAATTACTTCTAATTCCTTGTCCGTGTCAAACGCGATCAAACAGCGTCCGTACACATATAAAACTATCCAAAAGAAAGTGTTTTCTAATTATATAATTTAAGTGCAAAATCTACATTTTTTGGTCATAAATATACTGATATATAAAAATGTTTTCATTACACTATGACTACATATACGTCACCGAACGCAGCGCTCGGCAGACGATTGCAATTCCCCTCGCAATAGGCCGCACTGAAGGCCATACAAACATCACATTACTGTCTTTTAATACGCACCCCTTTGTCCATACAACACATTTAAATATAACAATCCTTGAAACACTTCAAATTCATAAACAAACGTTTTATATAGACCTTTAACAATGCGGTATAATCATTTTTTTAATTACACTAATGGGTGGGGATTAGGTAAATTGTACTTTCATTAAAAATGTGCCATAGATTATATCTTTAGGATCGTTGTATTTAAATCGCTGTGCATGGAATATCGATATTGCGAACTTACAACTCAATATTGCCCAAGACGTATCACAATCGATGTATCGAGTCCATTTGCACCGAATATCACATCGTCACTGCAACATTAGCGATTCGAGGTTACGGTTGAGAATCGTATCCTTGACGGAGTTGAAGACGACCTCGATGTTGTGCGTGTCGATGGCTGTGGTGAAGTGGTGATAAAGGGTCGTCTTCGGCTCGCGCCGGACGTTGGCGAACATGTTGAGTATGAACATCTGAACATCCTGTAGATTGTGTGGGTCGCCGGTGAACTGGGGGTAGTACCAGCGTATATCCGTCTCCTTACTGGCGACTTTCTTCGCGAGTAGATCAGACTTGTTCAAAAAGAGAATAATTGATATCCCTTTGAAGTTGACGTTGTTGACGATTGTGTCAAATATGTTGAGGGCCTCGGCGAGCCGGTTCGTCTTCCTGGAATAACAACGATTTAGTTTGTTAGCGCAACGCTAATAAGCTTCTACCGGTTTTAGCTTCGTGACTCACATTTTGGTGTAAAGGTATTGAGAATTAATTTCGTTTAACTCAACGATACATTAACTGGAATTATCAAAAAACTAGAATTCAAGGTGATAACGAGGAAAATTAAGAAAAAAAAAGTCAATATTGTGGAATGGGTAATGAGAATTGTTGATTTTATGACAGGCTGAAAGAATTAGATAAATGTTTCATAATTTTTACGTTGACTAACTCCTTTTTCCTGACCATATCCCACTCATGTGGGATCGACGCACAAGTTTTTATATAAACCTTTTTATCCTTTTAAGTTAAGTAAAACGATTTAATTAGTATTCCCGAGAGTTTATCGCATCGTCATCGACTTCGGCCACATATTATGTATTCATAAATAGATTACTATGGAAAGTTGAAAATTTTAAGTGTGTCGAATACAAGTATCGTGTATATAAAGCCGGCTTAATAATGAGCTTTTTTTTAAAGTTAATAACATCATAACTTAATCATAAAACATATCGTAACCTCATTTCAATTAACTAAGCATTTCTCATCTACGATTAAAAATTTATGACAGTAATAAATTTTTGATTGAAAATTACTTATATGACATGGATACGACACAATGTGGGCGATCATTAGTGCATTTGATGCGTGCGCGTGGGTGACGGAAATATGTGTATTAACTCTTATTTTAGAATTTAGTGAAGAGCGACGGTGGCTCAGGGGTTAAGCACTTGACTTGTAATCTGCAGATCCTGAGTTCAAATCCCAACATGCACCAATGTGCGAAGTGTATCCTTACTTTGAAGGATCACATCGTGATGCAACCTGCACATATCTGAGTAGAAATTTAAAAATATATGTAAAGTCAACCAACCCGCACTAGGTCAGCGTGGTTGACTATGGCCATGTCACCCCTAACTTAGGGTAGGCTCCGAGCAACTCAGTGGGTACATATAGTGAGCTGATGCTAGTATTTAGTGAATGACTGAATTAGTGAACGAATGATTGAAAGGTATTAGCGTGTGTTTGTGTAAACAAATATGAATAGTTGCGACTGATTCATCGCGATATCGTATGTTTCATACGAGTGCTTTATCACGCTTATACATATCTCGGTGTTGATAAAACCCGAGATAAAATTATCAAATAATTAAGTATTTGTAATTATACAATCGTTACATCACCTTTTAATTTGCGCAAACAGTAATTTTTAATTAACATTGTAACATGAACAAGTAGACCGATGAACTAACAGAATTATATCTAACTTTTTGATAATAAATGTGTTCTGTTCGTGTAATAATATGGGACAGCTTTTTTTATTTTAAAATCAATAAAAAATGCGACCATTAAGTCCTATAGTATATTACTTTTGGCTTTAATAATCTCTCTTATATTATAAATGCGAATGTTAAAATGGATGGATGTTTGTTTGAAGATACCTACAACCGGAACGGCTCAACGGATTTTAATGAAATTCGGCACACATGTAGAAAATAGTATAGAAGAACACATAGGCTACTTATTAATATTTTCCTGTAAATGCCCGCGGATGGAGTCGATAGACATCTAGTCTATTATGTTTTACATTATAATTGTTTATGTATAAAGTAATGTATGACCAATATAAACATTATAATAAACGATTAATTGCATTTATTTATTAGCATTTCCACTTAACTGTATCGACCTCTAACCGCGGCGTATCTTTTGTCTTAACTCAGCTTCGTAAGCAAACTGTTTCTGAATTCAAATTACATTTTCGTGACTTCATAATTACGAAGAATAATTTAATAAAGCGACTCCGGACTTGTCAAGGCGAATAAATAGATTTTTTTATGTTTGTACGTGCAAGAATTTCCTTAAAATCGTAAACAGGTAAATTGTAAACAGCATTGAAGCTACGCAAATTACAAACCGTTGTAATCTAAAAAATTCTAAACTGATTAACGTAAAATAGATGAAATAAAAAATACTCTACAAAAACGTAATAGCAGACCTTTTGATATGTTTTTCATATTTTTACTGAACATACTATTTAAAAACACCTTTATTTCTATTAGATTTTATTACAATTTTAACCCTTATTGTGGCAAGATTTCTTTTTTTGAAGAAAAGCGAAAAAACAAAGTTAAAAAAAAACTAAGTTAAAAATTATTTAATAGTGACCGTATATTTTTATAAAGTTGTACGTATTTTATACTATACAAAATAAAAATAAGGGTTAAAGTAAAAAACTTACAGTGATTTTTATATTCTTCAGATACTTAACCTTAGTGTAATTGAGTGAAAAAAAACTTTAGGATACCAAAATGTTTGAATTTATTCTAATACAGAAATGTCGTAGAGTATGTATAAATTATAACTGTATAGATAAACTGTTCTCTATACATTATCAAATGTAGAGCAAGAAGTCTGAGGCGTCTGTCTCGTTGATGGGCCCTTTGCAGCTCTCGACTCGCCTGCGGGAATTGATTGACCTTTTGTCCTTGAATTAACTTAAGTGCTCGGTAATTACATCTTTAAATTTGATAAAATTTATGAATTTTTGCTGTATCTTTTTTTATTATTAATAGAGAAAGACTGCTTAACTTAAATTCACACTAATATTAGAGTTAGTAAAGTCTACGAATGCATTATTTACGTAAAATTTTCTGTCCAATTTTGAATCAAAAAAAATATTTTTCACTCTATATTCTTCATTATTTACTTATTGCATTTCATATTCGTGTTAAAAGAAGATCTAAATAAATAAAAATTTATTTACAGACCGGCGACACAAATCCTAAATCGGCGGGAAAGATTCAATGTCTATTGTCTTGACTACATTCCGATGTAAACTCTAGTCCTAAGACATGCGTAATGAAAAAAAATTTTTAGATACTTTTGTTCGTCTTTAAAAAAATCAAATGTATCAAACCACGTCACGTAAACGGGAACATACTTCGTATCCGATGAAGCGGTTTTATCGTGTTATCGTTTTACGACGCCATAACCTATTCGAATAGTGACCCAATAAAATCATATTTACATCTGCGGCTTACTTTTACAACTATAGTGTGCGTGTGTAAACTTAATATAGACTGAGATTCAATGTTTACGCTTAGTTTTTATGGTAACACCTTTAAGGTGTTGCCATACATCGTTCTACTCATCATTCATATATTCTGTTGCCAAAGTATGTTTATGTTCTAATCCGATTACGACTTTATTACGACTTTAATATAACGTTAAAGTATAAGTTTTGGATAGATGTAATATTATTAAAAGATTGAGAATACCTACAAATTAAAAATTAAAACCTTTATGATTAGGACCCTGACAAGTCTTTGTATAACCGTGTCTTTAAATTCTATTATTTATAGGTCAGCCTAAGTCATTCATATGATTTCAAAATAATTTTCCCTTAATAACAGCGAATGACAAAAAATCTCTTACATCAACTTTACTAAAGCTGCACTAAGGTATCATTTCAGAAAGATGATCATTTGCCAATACTCAATATGCATAGCAATAGTAGTTATAAAGTTATAATTTAACAAGTCACTGGTTAACCCATAAGTCTCACCTGTCTTCCGACAACACCTGATCGAACTCAGACGATGACACGAGGAAGAGTATGGAGGTGACAGAGTCGAAGCACTGCGTCCACTTCTGTCGCTGCGTCCGCTGCCCGCCCACATCCACAAACACGAAGGGTACATTGTTGATATTGATGGTGCACTCCGTAATTCCCTTGGTGGCCTTCCGGCAGTGCAGGATGTCCTGGTGCGAGGGCACGTAGTCAGGCCGCGCGATACGCTCCAACTCACCGAAGAAATAACTCACGGAGTCACTCTGCAACATTATATTATTTATGATTAATACGCAAATCGATTTCAACGAGCAACCTGCCAAAAGATGTCGCTAAAATAGCTAAGACTGTTGCCCTTAAACATCTGTATTCCAAATTATTTACAAAATAATGAAGTTCAATTGTTTGGGATAAATGTACAAAATAAATAGCACTTCTAGTAACATTAATATTTGCAATACGAAATATATATTTTTTTTTATAACAGAAGGAAGCAAACGAGCAGCGGGAACACCGAGGTGTTCAACGACGCCCATGGACATCAGCAATACCAGAGGAACCGCATATATTATATATTTAGATTTTAAAGATACAAATATTAATATCTACTTTACACTTGAAAACTACGTCTTCCTACATTGAAAATGAATCAGTCAGTCAAGTCAATTTATCATTTTATGAATTTAAATTAGGCAATTATTAATTTGCCTTCATAGTACAAGTAAAAAACGTCATTACATTATTACGTATGCATATCCATAATAACGTGCAAGGCCTCGTCTATAAAAACAAACTCGGTGGTCTATATTTAATGCATTTAAAAATGTACATATTCGGTTTCTGTTTTCTGTGTTTGTGTATTTATACAAACATCTGCAAGTTCACTTCTGTGTATAGAACGTTGCAGACGTTTGCACTCAATATGTTTACAAGTAAGATCCGTCTTACGATTGCTCAATAAATAACCAATTTGAAGCGCACCAAGCCGTAATTATATAAAGTGTACTAATTATCCAACGTAGAAACACATGATATCCATGTAAAATAAAGCACCTAAGATATATTAGAGTATAATCTTTAAAATAGTAAAACACATAATTTTTAGCTTAATCAAAGGACTATCCAATGATTAGCTGTCGCCCGCGACTCCGTCCGCACGAAATTAAAAAACTTAATTAGTATCCTATGTGTTCTACCAGACTAGTTTCTACATGTATGCCAAATTCTAGCGAGATCCATATAGCTGTTCTGTAGATTCCTTCAAACAAACATCGATCTATCCATCTAAACATTCGAATTTATAATATATATAAGTATGATGAATTTACAATACCAGGTTCTTCAATCTGTGATATAACATCTCTCCAGAGGGCAGAATATTTTATCTGTGGTAGAAGCTTTCTATAACATACGTGAATGTTGTATAGGTCGCGCGGATGCGGCCGGCGCCGACTTCACTTAGCACTAATGCCTACACAGAGTGCACTTGTGTCCGCACTATATGCTTTACAATTTGCCAACTATGTACTAGTAAAATAAGGATCAAATATACGTTGTACTCAATCTTTGATCCAGGATCTTCATGATTCGAATCATAACGTAAGTTTAACCTTCAAACAATAACAACCTTTTAACCGATTATAAATTCTAATACTACGACAATAGAGTTCATTGAGATCTTATGAACAAAGCTTGTTCATTCAATTTTACATGAGCTGTTAATTCAAGTGTTTAAGCCAATTGCTAACTTAACAAACTACCTAGATTTTAGTATGACATTTAATAGTAAAAATAACATACTAGCAGTTGCCCGCAACTTCGTCTCTGTGGAATTACAACGATAGGAAAAAATATATATTTGTTACCAAGTGATAGTGTAACTTCCCGACAGTGAAAGCATTTTTAAAATCGGTACTTTCGTAGTCTATTCAGACAAACAAACAAATCTTTCCTCTTTATAACATTAGTGCAAAGTTTTAGATAATAACCTAAAACCGCTATAGGTAGAAATAATCTGTGTTAGGTTACCTTTCCAAGTATAACTGTTCATAATCTAATAACTAATTCAATAGCTTCCTTATCAGTGGCCAGCTAGCTCCTTGTACAGTAATTTGCCATTCTGGATATTATTTAGTTTGACATACGATAAATAATTATTGCAAAAGATATGATTTTTGTATTACAACATTCATTTTATCGTAATCTTAGAAAAATAATTTAACCCTTAGTAGCCTGATTTACATATGAAAGTGAATTATTTTTAATATTACTAAAATAAAACAATAATGATTTTTTTTTAATTTCGTTGGAAAGAATATCATACAACAGTAAAATAGGTACAGCCAACCCATAAAAAAACTAATAGTAATGTGAACATTCGGTTTAAAAGATTGTTATCAAAATTGAAACTCTAGGCTAATAAGGGTTAAAAAAAAATAAAGAGGCCAAATTTGAAACATTGTAACATCCTGTAGCTTAAACGATTGAAACAATTTAAACGAATTGTTATTCGATTCTTATTCTTCCCCTAAGTATTTTACCGTTACCATACCTATCAATTAAGGCCTTCAAAAGCACGATATCTGACCACATTAACCGGTCACGAAGGACCTCGGTCTAATCAGAAAAGCAAAGCGAACATGGATCAATCGACCTAGATATTCAACTGGCGACCAATTGTTCACGTGCGTCAAACATATCTACTATGTATTTGCTCTTTTGTCAAAAAATATACCGTTGTAATATATACATTAAAAGACAAAAAAAAAAAACAACCTAAATTTTGACACAAAATACACGCACTGAATTTAGGCAAATACTAAAAATTTTATTCGCCGAATCATATTTAAAAACATATAGTTACTATATATATGAAATTAACATATGATAAAATTATATATAGCATAAGTAGTATTATGACGGAAAGTCGGAAAGTTTTTTTTATGACGTACAATGTTACACATAGCAGAAAACAAGTCAGTGACTAGGGCATGGTGCGTCCGTTATTCGCCTTATATATTAAATACATATAAGATTTGCTGGCTTTTTAATGATACATTCTATTTTCAAAAAGCAGCATAACACTTGGTCACTTACATTGAAGCACTTGAGTATTAAAATCCTGGCAGGCAACATAATTAGCGCAGAAAAAAGTTTGACATTGATTTTGTGCTTTATTTTACGAGTCTGTGACATCGCAGACCGGGACGCAATACATTTGGAGTTCAAGCTTTATGTACAACATAGAGATTGCACATTACTGTGAGATAACACACAGACATACAAATGCTAAATACATAGATATACAGGTAACCGCAGCGTGCACAATCATATGGTTGTAGTACGGACATTTGTAAGGCGCGGTTCACACCTGTGTCTCAAGAGTACGCTCTACTCGCGATGAATGCATACTTGTAACTTAGTTTCAATTGAATGTACTGAGAATGTTTTAATCATGTACATATGTAGATAATATTTATTGAACAAAGATGTAACTTATAGTAGAGCGCTTAGATCTTACTTTTTATTTCTTACTAATATTATAAAATGCGAATGTTTAGATGAACGGATGGATGTTTGTGGATGCTAAAAGGATCTCGATGAAATTTAGATATAAAGAACATAGTCTGAAAGAACACATAGGCTATTTAATATGTGCTTTTTTTAATTCAGCGCGAACGGTGTTGCATGGCTACTTTTTAATAAACGTGACTTTTCTCCGATATTATTAAACTGTTGTATATCAGTAAAATAAACACAATGTTTTATCTATCTATCTATTAAATAAAAACAGCAAGGATTTCTGTTTTTCAATTACTATCTCGGACATAGCATCAATAAGCTTAGAAGACCACTTCAGAATGCCAATTTTCTTTTACCATAATAATATTACGAACAAGTACAGTATAGAAAAAATCTATCGGGCGTACCCACATACGTCAACAGCATAGTAATATAAATATACAGGAGGATCAACGTCGGTGGAGAGTTCCTTCACCTCGACGTACAAATATGGTGTAAGAACTACGTACAGTGCACCTGCTATCCTCTCGCCTCTTCAACTATAAAAGACAAGGTCCGAGCCGCTTTAAAATCGTATTTGGATGTCTTATTTAATCACACCGTAAATGAAGTTTATAGTCGCGCGTTGATCCCGAATTACGTTGTTTTTATTTATAAAGACGCGAACTGTTTCCTCATAACTATTATACGATATAAATAACACGTTGTTTTGTTATTGTATGTAACTTATTTAATACTTGTTCGTCTATATAACTATCCGGAGACAGGAGTTTGATTTTACAGAATACTGCTATATTTTCATACATTACATTTAGAGTCGTAATCTAAAGGTTGATACACAATATAGCACATTCTCGAGCATATAACGTTCTTAGGAATGGTACCTGTATTAACAGGTAAAAGCATAGCTTTTAAATAACGTATAGTTCGTGAAAGGTCGATACACTAATATATAAAGCGGCTCTATATTTTGTTACAAGTAAACGCTCTAGTCTATACCTACCTTAACAAAACTGCGCTTTTATTGTTCAACTTCTTTTCTTTCTAAATACCTTATTTACTAAGGCATACCATTTTAAACTTTAATCTTTGAATCAATATCATCAAGTATTACCACATAGATATATGACAGTCATAATTCTTTCCAATAGAGCATTTATATATCGCTGTATTTCAAATATGAAATAGCGAGAACATTATGAATTGAATTATGCACAATAAAGCCTATTGACGGCACTAAATATAATAAATATAATCGCGAAAGCATTCTCAATGTGGCATTGTTTTCCATACGATATGTAGGATTATAAACAATGGACCACCAGATGTGGGGTCAGCAGGGAACAGTATCTCCGTCAGCATGAAAGATGCCGGTATAACCTTATGTAGAAAATATAACGTAACAATCTAAGTTATACATCGATTATTACCCGACTAACAAGAGAGTAATTTTGAGGGAAGCTTATATGTATGTTGATTTGTAAGTATGTTAACTCCATTGTGACATCCTTGAGCCTTGACGGCTGAACCGATTTCAAAGACTAAGTTATCATCCAATTCCAACAGACGCTCGAGTTTTTTAATTAACAAATATCTAATCAATTGTAATCATACCAGCTTATACCCGAGTCCTGCTGGATCCGTTTTGGACTGCTAACGAACATCCATCCATCATCAATCCATTTTAACTGTCATATTTATTATGTGCGTAAAAAAAAAGAAGTAACAAGTACACGACATG